AGTACAGTAATAGAAGTGGACTATGTTCAAACTTCGAAGTCTGTTAGAAGGCTCCTTTTTGTTAAGCTAACCAAGGACTCCATCAAATAATGTGCCAGGCCAGGTAATACACAGGCATCCATCTTCTAAAATTTTAAGACTGAAGTGTAGGCTGCCATGTTTTATGGGCTTACAGTGTTTTCAGGAAGCTGTGCTGTTGCTTAAGGATTAGTTTATGGTCTGCATACAGAAATTATCGTATGACTGAGAGCAGTAAGGCATATAACACATGAAAGGTATTTGAGCTATGGGGATATTTCTTAGTCTCTCAGAGGGAGTCACTGTTTAGCTGAGTTTAAGGATCTGAGGTGGGTATGCAGCTTGGCTCTAGGTTGAAAACTTGATGTTAACCATAGCTGCCCCTGCTTGTTCATCTCCACCCATATCAGATTTGAATTGCACAATAGTTCCTGTGCCAACACAGTCTTATGGGAGAAGTTTGAACTTCAAGTCATGGAAAGCTCAAATGGAGTGATCATTCCAAGCTATTTCATAACCCTCAGCTATCCACATAATCCACCAGCTGCAGGGAAGGAGCTATAGCAGCAAAGAGAATGGATTATTCCAGAATATCAAGAGTTGAGAGAGAACCAGATAATTTTGTCTGTCTTCACACACCAGTAAGGGTTGAACATACCTGAGTAGCAACTGGCTTGCTTAGAAGGGATTTTATGTATCCTGACTGTGGGCTTTGGAGCACAGAATGGGCAGGCTCACACCTTCTGCTGTCTGACTCAAGCCAGTACCTGCCACATACAGGCAGGAAAAAAATAAATTATATTCACATTGATTATAGTAAAGATCCATACACAATATTAGACTCATGATTCCCCTAATTAAGAATACGTTTTTATCACTTCATTCAGTTTTGTTTTCCATATTGTGTGGTACTGTGTCATCCTGCTCAGTATTACATTTGACACCACATATTCTTTATTAATTAGGGTATATTGACCTCCTTTGCTCACTTTTGAATGAGAGTAGTGTTTCTTTTGAATGCATCCATATTGGAGCTAATCAGATTTTAAAGCTGAATTGATTCACATTCTTTAATTCTTCTTTTTTCTCCTTTGAAAAACACTGAAACACCAAAAGCTATTAGTGTTTAATGTCTTGGAATGGTAAGTAGACCTAGGTTATGTCATTCACTGATTAATACTGCCCAAAACACAATGTGTGAGGAATATCTACAATTTTATTGCCTAGTCTGCTTGAGAAGATTATAAAACATGCATTAGAAAAGCAAGCCTCCACTGAGGTGACCCTGACAGAAGTAAATCTTCATCTGTTTTCTGTAAAGACAAGTCAGTCTTTACACAAGCTAATGCATCTTCCTATGCTATTCTATACTGATACAGGAAAAAAAAAGTAACTTTTTGTTCCACCTGTTCCTTTGCGCGTCTCCAAACTCTCCCTTATGTTTGTGGCCCTGTTCATGTGAGCTGCTCCTGTGCACATTCATTCACACAACAAAAACTCAGAAGAAAGGGATATATAGTAGTTGGTGGGATGTTTGGTTCACGTTTTTCAGCCTATGCCTGCAAGTTGAAAATTGTGAAGCTCTGTCTCAGAGCTAGATTCTGCTCCTGTTTCTCAAGGATAAGGCACTTGAGGAGACTCTTGTCAGATTAATTATGTATATTAACTGAACTTCCCTAAATCTAGAGAATGTATCAGTACCTGTTGTCTTTCCTGCTGGTTATTGTACTATCTTAGTGATTTCCCGACCTCCCTAGGGAGCCCTTTTACTATGTAAAATTCTGCATCTTCTCCCAACTTCTGTGTGGTGTTTCAAGTAACATGTAAGTAACAAATGAGCTCAAGTAGCATAAAGTGAGTAACCATTTTAAGCCCATATTTTGTAAACCTCACTCATTTTCACTAAGAAACTACTTAGTCCAGTACATCTGTAGTAAATATTTCAGTAATGTTTTTAAAAGTCATCTTAAGATGTTTTGTTGGACCTTGTATTTGACATAAGACTTCAAGGCATTCCTTCTATTTTCAAAAACTATTTTCTTTTTCATCAAATTTCTATAAAGTATACAATGTTAAAACTGGTTGCCTTCATTATCATCTAATATAACTGCAGTTACAAGTAAGAAGGGAAATTTGATAGAATATTTATTTAACTTACATTTTGACTTTGTCACTTAGCTTTTGTTTTACTTCAACTTTGAACAAGTAGTTGCTGAAGAATTAAAAGTAGCTGAGGAAGTTATACTTTTGTAAGAAGTTAAACAATTTACATCTATATAAATTCTCATAAGCTATATCTACTTCCTTGAACACCTTTATAATAGTAACTGAAAATAGTAGCATATTGTGTGGTATGTTTGCACATTGACTAATGACATAATATGTGTGTCTAAGACAACATCAGAAAATATTTGTTAGTTTAGTTCTATCCTTTTAATTGTACTTTATACGTAGTTCTTTCTGTAACTTATCTCTAATTTTATTTTGATTTTAATATATTTCTGAAAGTATAATCTGAAAAAAAGAAAAGTTTTTCAAATAAAATTACGTTATTATATGATTTATACAAACATGTAATTATTTTTATTTGTGCTAGGGAAAGGTAGTTAAAAAAAAAAAAAGAGTGAACAGCAGAGGCATACCAAAGTTTTATTAGCAAAAATTGTCTAGTCACTAGATAATTGTTTTTATGTGATTTGTTTATTTTTACTTACCTGTTTCAGTAACAGTGTCAGTCAAATGTAATGCACACATTCATTTTTAGATGAAGATAAAGGATATTGTGTGTTTGTAAGTTACGTGTTCATTTCTAAAGTTTTTTCATGAAAGTGAAACAAGGGAAAGGAATGAAAGGAAACAAGGGAAAGATTATGAAAGGAAACAAGGGAAAGATTAGACTTCTGCCACTAAACAAATGGATGATTTTTAATTTGGATGGTTTTCATACCATTTCATTTTTCTCATTTCAAGGACAGTGCTTCCAGACACAATAACCAGTCCTAGTATCCTACCCATGTGTAACAAAGATTCGTTTTTATTTATTAGACACCTTTGCATTGTGGTGTTTCACTGATGTAATTACTGAGCTAATCGTTTTGTTAAAATCAAACTATTTTACTTTTAAAATCCCAAAGAATTACATTCATCTTAAATTATGCACTTATGTTTCTGAGAATGCCTGCTAATCTTATCACTCATATGTTAACCAAGTGATTTCTTTACTCCCTAGGAGACCAAAGAGCAATATATAATGTCTGTCATTTTTATGAGCCAAATATCACATGATTCAAATCATGTTAGTGAGCTGGTTTATTTTTATTCTGTATTCCAAACTATTCATTCTATTTAAAAAATTCCAGGTTTCCTGGCAGTGGTGCAAGTATGGAATAAAATACACAGAGCAATGCCTAAATCAGTGACAAGCGTAATTTTCTTTTCAAGTCCAAAAGTTTATAATCCCTAGAATTCTCCCTTCAGATGAAAATGTAGACACTAAATGTTTAAAAATTATTCAGAAAACAATCCTAGGACTGATGAAAATGTGATAGAAAATAAAAATGTGGTGGAGATAGGGAAGAGTTTAGAAGTTGATCCCTCCATATGATTGTACTAAACCCAAATACTGTCACTTGACATGCTTTATCATCTTTGCATAAACTTTTTAGCTGTGAGGAATGGCATGCCATGTCCAGTGGCTGCTGTCATCTATCATAAAGGAGCAAACTGTAGTGATTAACAAAAAACTGTAAAAAGATGGGACTGTATGTTGCAGCTTAGTTGTTTACTTGTGGAAACAGGGAAAACTAATTACGTTCTAAAAAGAGCACAGATATGTTTAAAAATGTACAGAATAGTAATTTCATATTGGCATATTTGAGGGTGTGCTACAGCTTGAATCAATGTTGTAGCTAAACAGAGTTGGAAATAAGATCACTTAAAGGTAGTGTAACTGTTTCCTGCTGTTCTTAAGCACTGAAAAGTGAGACAACACGAATAACTACCTAGGAGAAGCTTCTAAAATGCATACCTCAGACAAGGAATGTTAGTTTCCAACACTTAACTTCGATAAACACAATGAGGAACTTATGAATATGTTCTGTATTTTTAAAAAGATGTCCAGAATCTGTTTTTCTGCTAGTGTTACAGCAAGGAAATACGTATCAGTAATAGCAGCTATAATCCACTTTCCTTTTTGCTTTTGTTCCAAAATTCCTCAAAAATTGAGTGTGTCGAAAGTAGCTTGAACTGGACATGGTATTTTAAATACTTTTTGACTGGCCATAACAATTATTTCTACTACTGGAAAAAAATAAGAGAAGAAAATACAATTTTTCACTTCCAGAGTGCCAAGACGTACACAAGACTGCCTTAACTATCCATAGGCAAGAACCTCTTCTAAATTGCCCCTGCTCCTATCACCACATCAGTGAGACTGGCCAGGCAATTCCATGTAAAGCAACAGGGAAAACATTGAGGAAAAAACTGGCAGATGCTTTCACTTCAAGGTTTTCAAAGGAAATAAAATGTGTAGCCTGGCAAATGGCCCACTAAAATAGTATATACTATATATACAAAAGACCTAGCCAGCTAGCTTGTGGTTGTTTTTTTGTTGTTGTTGTTGGTTTTTTTTGTTTTTTTTCAGAGGAGTATCTTGCCTTCATACTGCAGCTGTCTTGGTGAGAAAGATATTCCATAAAACCCAGATCCTGCAAGAAGGGAGAAATTGTTTGCCTAGTGGGGTTTTCAGTGAGCAATGCAGACAAACTGTGCTTTTGATTTTCTCTTCAGTTGAAAATGTACTCTGTTCTACTTTTTGGTACTTTACAAAGTGCCTTTGAGTAGTAATTAGCCTTTTGTTTGGCTAATGTGCCTAAAAAAGTTGGTGGTGATGGTTCTTACAGATAAAGTATATAACAAGCAAACTTAGAGCAGTTTTAATTTCTTTGAACTTAAAGATGTCTTTTGTACATATCTTGTTTCAGAATTAAAGTGGCTCAGCAATCAGTAAGCAAGTTGACTGCAGAGAAGAAAGTTGAAACAAAGAAAATCAATCCTACAGCTAGCCTGGTATGATATGTTTCTCAGCATGACATTCAGAATGTTTTTTGTGACACTGTTCTTGTCATTCAGGATGATGGTGGGTTTTGGTTCTTGTTGAAGTGTGATACAGTATCCTTTGACGGTTTAAGCATAGCAGGTTGTTATTCTTCCCAAATAAAAGTCTTTAGGCTTATGCCCTACATTACTGTAGGGCCCTACAATAATTAAAATTAAAGCATGGTGTAGATGTACTTAAGCATGGTTCTGCTATTTGAGATAACTAAATACAATGAGTGCTGTTTTTTTGGTTATTTCCCCTCTGCCAATAAGGTCTCTTATATTTTCTTTCATGCTATATAATGTATTGGGGCTCACTGTATATATTTGCCCAATGGATCTTCTTTTCTTCAAAACCTTACAAAATGTTGTTTGTTGAATAATGGTAGAAGGGATTGAATCCCCGTTTTGTTCCTTGCTGTTTCCCAAGGTTTTTTGTAGGTCACAAAAAGAGGACTAATAATTGACACTGTAGATAAAAATGTTTTTTCTTTATGAAAGGCAAAGAGGTTAGAGTCACATTTCTTAAACTATGGGATGCAAGAGATTAAGGGAAGGAAATGTTCATGAAGGAATTGGTATATTATTTCCATTCCCAACACAGTATATCTATTTCAGGAGAGGTGGCAGAAGTATGATTGACTGAAGTTTGTTGGGAAGAGGAAGAGGTCATTAGACAACACAATCTGCCTAATGCGAAATTAGTCTTTATGTCAGCAGAAACCATTCTGGACAAAATAAAGTGTTAAGAGTCACAGTAGCAATGTGTCTAGTTTTCTCTAGCTGCACTAGTCTTCACAGAGATGCTGATCAGTTGGGATATTTTTAAAGACACACAGTATTTGACAACTCTGTAGCTAAAGCAAGCTTAGTTTCCCTACAGTAAATAATGCAGTGGTTGAGAGCCTCCCTTGAGTGTTCCAGGAGTTTTTTGTTTGTTTGTTTGTTTGTTTGTTTTTTGTTTTTGTTTGTTTGTTTGTTTGTTTGTTGAATCAAGGAGAACTCTAATCTACTGTGACTCATTCCGTACTTCGTAGTATTCTAGACTATGCTATTCTAGAAATGCTTATGGAAACTTGAGAGAAGATGGAAAATTAGAGGAAAGAATAATAAAGCACTTTTTTTTAACAGAAAGAAAGACTACGTCAGAAGGAAGCCAACGTGACTGCCAACTGAGTGAAGAAAGATGAAAATGATAGTGTGTCTTAAGACTTTTCATGATACTTTACTACACTCGTGGCCCAGGGAGCACCTTATGTTAGCTATTGATTTCTGCTTTGCTGATCTGTTCCAAGACAATCTACTAAAGATTTTTGATTTCCTTCAAAGGAGTTTGTACTTTCAGATGAAGGAATTATAAGATGTTTTTTACTTGGGAACTCAGAATGATTTTCTGTAATTTTTCCTCACATTGCTTAAAATGCATCTGGTTGTTAATGGTTATTTAAAGTACTCTATATGTAATGCAATAATATGGAAAAGCTAAAATGAGAATTTTGGATGCTGGGTTAAGAAATGACTAACAACCTGTAGGTTATTTACAGGGCTTTGTGTAGATTAGAGCGAATATGCCATTCAGCTCACAAAGGACTATTACATAATATTTTTTTGTTTACTTCATCAGTAAGTAATTTTACAGTGTCTTGAGTATTGGATGCACCTTTCTAAAATTGATTAAATATAGTTATAGATTTATTCTGTATTTTACTATAAATATTTTTATAGAAGCCTCAGCTTATGCCACACATTGAAATGTAAGCAATATTTTGCACATGAAAAGGAATAGCTTCAAATTCTTTAGCTGTATGATCAATGGCATAACTGATTCATTATTTTTATGGTTTTAATCTAACATTTCCTAAATTCTGAGCTCCAAAAGAAAAATGATTAAGAAGTATATTTTTATTTCAGTATGTATTGAAACTACCAATTCCATAAAATGATGTCTTTGTTATTCATTGAACTAAAATATAACAGTGTGTCTCCATGAAGTTATACGCTTGCCATTTAATCTCTGGCTTTCAATTCTATTGAAAGCTTTCTTTTAAAAAATTAATAAGACCTCTCTAACATATATTTTGCAGCCTGATCTTGTCCTGCTATATTTATATGAAGAATGTATCCAGAATATATATATTATATATAATATATAATTTTAAAAGTAAAACTTGAGGAAGAAATAAGTTTGCTGTCATCCTGTAACATTGTAATCATTGCCTGTGAAGTAACAGAGCCTGAAAAAAAAATTCACTGAACATCCGCTGTTACTTCAAGATTCTTACTGCATTTTAAGGATTCAGACTCTTAGAAGTAAAGATCTTGAAGCAGGAGTTAATTTAACGTAAAACAGAAAATTGATAGTTAAATACAAGCACGATAATGGCTTATAAGTAGGAAGAACAAACTGGAGAAAATATGCTTCTGCTTTTGTCCATAAGAGAGAAATCCCCTTCTTTATGATAATGGTATCTGAAATTGGATAGGAAGATAAATTAGGTAAAGAACAAAGTACAAAAGATACTGTAGGGAAAGCATTAGTGCTTTGATGTAGTAAACAGAAAGGATACACATGAGGCAATTTCATCAATAGAAATGAACACTTGTTGCTCAGTTGTTGGTGAATGTAGCTTGAAGATTTCATATATTACAGGTTTCTTAAATGAGTCTATCATTCTTGCATACATAAAAATAAGGGAATCAATAATGCCCAGTATGTTTTGGAGTTTCTAGCTGCTGTGAATTATGCTTACACTTAAGAAGTGTAAGCATAATTCTTATGAAAACAGTCAATAATAGACCAACAAAAATAAACTAAGTTTTAGTTCCATTATTCCCATTGCAGAAAAATAAATTACAAAGATTTAAGTTTGGTTCTATGATTCCAAGTTTTCTGTCTTCCACCAAATAGATAAAGTACATTTATGTATTTCCAATATCGTCAGTGATAAACAGGAGCAATAATGCTTGTAACAACAAAAGAACAAGAGCAAGCAAGGCAATTCTGATGAGTCTTTAAGCAAACAACTGTTGAATTTTCATATGGTTTCCTATCACGAAGATAGTGTATATTGCAATTTGAGTTAATTGGGAATTTTTCAATAGAATGTTTTATTTGGAATACTAATCAACAAGAGTAACACTGTTTCTGAAAAAGGATTGATCTTATAAATTCACATTAAAAATATATTATGGCAAGAAGTTTTTAAATTATTGAAATAGCCTGTTTTGAAATTTCTACATGTGAAGTTTCATTTTTCAGTTCAAACTGACTTTTCATTTTGAAATGTTGAAAAATGTATATAAAAAGGGATTAAAATTAAAAATTTTGATGTAAAGCATTCCTTGATCAGATTTATAACTTTTTTTTTTTTTTTTTTTTTTTTTTCAGATTATTAACTAGAAAAAGTTTTTAGGCTATTTTTCAGAAGTCTTCAAAATTTATGTAGCACAGAGGCATTATTTCTTCCTTATCTCCAGTTGTTGCAACCTTTCTCTCAAGATGGAGGTTTAGCTTACAATTTCATCCATGACTTAAATTGTCTACTAGTAGTTACACTGTTTTTAAGTGAAGTAGAAAAAAAGTGCATCTAGAGCATCTGACTCATTCTCTTACTCAAGCCTTTAAGACTCTTGGATGGAATTAATCAGCTAAATATAGCACTGACACCCCTACAGGTACCCAGAGGTGTCATCAAACCGTGACGAATGGTATACTTGCTGAACTTAACTAAACTGTTGTATTAAAGAAGAGATATTAACAGATATTACATACTGTGTAAACTGTTAAATTATGAAATGCTTAGGTGCTACAGATGTAACAAATAGGCATCAACCAGCATTCATCTTGAGGTTACCAAGTGTCACCAAAAGTTATGTTTTAAGCTTAAATTTAGTTTGGTGCCTGACTTTACCTGGATCTTTCTAATTTGAGGAGTGAAGAAAAGGAGGACAGAAAGGGAAGAGAAAGAAAATAAAAAGACAGAAGGGAACAGAAGTCTCTGGTAAATGTCTACAGTGTTGTCAAGGAAGTAAAAGTAAAGGAAGTAAATGGACTAAATTAAGCCAACCAACTGTAGAAAGGCAGTTACCATTTTCCAAGCTAGTTAATTTAAAATACCTCTACACAACATGGAATTTGCTTCTGTGACCACAAAGTAGATCTGTCTTGAGAATTTTTGTTTTGCTTTGTTTATTTATTGTCCTATTATTGCCAAGCTTCGTACGGTCTGTTAAGCAAAGCACTATTAAAATCCATGTTGCTCAGTAGGTGCTTATTACACAAAAAATGGTATGTATACCTTGCTAATTTATAAACTGGATTATCAATTTGCTAACAAATTAATTTACCAATGAATTAATTTACTAATTAAGAACTCAATTTAGGTGAGTAAATCTCTAATTTGTGAAGTGCTGTTTAATGTATTTACAATATTACTACTTACTGATAGTAAAATGAACGAATTTTTAGCATCTTTGAGATATTTTTACAGTACAAATTATATTTTCATGGTGTTTTTATTAATCTATGAGAACTACCCCAGTGTTTTGCCATGACTTATACGTATTTTACCATGTGCTTTATTTTAAGGTTGTAAGTGTAAAGCTTGAATAATATATATACTTCTGTATTTAACTTAGACATTTTTCAACAAAACAGAAACTGTGTGTTCTTCGGTTTCTGTACATATGGAAAATGAAAGTCCAGTGGTTGGAATATTCAGAAAGCAGAGAGAAAAATAATTGAGCATCAGCAGTTCTAGGAAGCTTATACAAGATCTCAAACTTTCTGAATTGCTGAGGATATTCCTCTAACAGCCAGGGTATCTCTGACCAGTCTAATTGTTTTCTACGTAGAACATGAACAAAATATTCTGTTTTCCATATGATGCACAGGATTCTTACTGCCCTGATATTCTAGTAAATTGATAGCAGTTTCTTTCTCTGATCTAAACATCTTTCCTACCAGATGAATATAAGGCAGTGGAATACTGTATTTATATTGATATGATGGTGCCTTAATCTTATGTGGGTGTGAAATTCCTGAAAAACCCCAACAAATAAGAAATATATATCTCATTACAGGACTGATGTGTTTTTGAAAATATTGCTCTATAATCTGTGCTTAGGCACCAGGCTGATATTAAAGTGTCAGAAAATCATATCCATGTATTTTTTGCTTTTTCGTGGCCTTGTCTGGATCTTGTTTAATTTTGTTATGGATCTCACTCATTATTTATTCATTTTAAACTCCTTTATACTTTATTAATTTATGATAATGGGTTTCAGGATTTGCTGTCTGGAGAGTTCTCTTTGGTTTTTCTCTTATGAAGATAAGCCTATATATTTGCATATAAATGTAAAGATAGTATGTTAAGAGATAACTTGATTGTAGTCAATAAGTTGCTTCAAAGAGGGACAGTATTAGGAACTAAGTGGCTCCTTGAGCTAGCAAGGAAAAGTATCACCAAGAAAAAAAAAAAAAAAGTCTGAAAATTAAAAACAGAAGAGAAATAAAAATTAGAAGTAAATTCCAAACTGTTAGTAATGAGCCTAGTTAACCATAGAAAGAAGTTAGGAAACGTAGTTGTGATTTCTCCATTCTTCTCTGGTGCTTTCAAATCAGGATGGACAATCTTTCTGAAAGGTTGATGTAGTCTAATGCAAATTACTGGACTTAGCTCAGATGTGCTAAGCTGAATCCCATGTACATTGACTTTCCAAATCATATAGTCCCTCTTGACAGAAAAATCTAGAAGTATGTCAAAAGACCCAATGAAACAATATTTATTTTGTCATCTTTAAAGGAAATTATTCATATCCAAGCAACTCTTTGCTGTGATTTTGAATTTAAAATATCACAAATAGTGTGGTGTAGAACATAATGCAAGAAATGATTCTCAAATCACCAATCTAATACTGAGGAAATACAAAGCCTTTTCATACAAGCTGTTACAGTAAGTTCTTATATACACAAGTAATTTTATGTATATGAGTATTCTTGCAAACCACAGTTAAAAATACCTGTAGAGGACATTATGGGGTCGTGGAACTGAACAAAATCTCTTTCTGAATCTTGTCATGAGGATTATCCTGAGCTGTCCCTGTATGGGATGTGGATTTCTTTTCTGTGGGGTGGAATCTGCCTCAACAGCTAACTGGAGTTCTGGTAGCTTTTGGAGAATGGAGGTTGTTTGCATGGAATATTTGCCATTGGCCATCAACTCCTAAAACCACAGCTGCTATGAAGTGACACTGCAGTACAATTCCCTGAGCCAAGATTGCCCCAGGGACTGCTGGAAGGGGGACTGGAAAATACAGTCAAGGGATATATACATTTTCAAAGGGGAAAGAGATCATAGTTATATTTCCAGATTAAAGTAGAGGCTAGCAGGCTCTTCCAAAATAGCAGAATTTTTGTATATATTCTTTAATGAGGCTATATGGATTTTCTGAAACGCTACATTCATATATGAATTTAATTCTGTGCCTGTATTTTTGTTTTTATTTTCATATAATTTAATATGAACAGGATTGTGTATATTTTCTTACTCTTTTAGTGTGCTGTGACCACTGAAAGGTTGACTACAGTGAAAACTGTTGAGAGATCCATTAACAAGGTGCCGACACGCAGTTGCATTTCAGGTTTCCATGTATTGCCCTGAGAGGAATCTTCATATTTTCCTAAAAGAAAAATTTTTCCTAAGAAAAATTTAACAGCCACACCACCTGAGTTTTCAGCCTCATTTAATCATAAACAGGTAGTTTTAGCTTAGGGCAAATGATGCTGCGAAATTTTGTCATTACTGATAACTATAGTTTTCACTGCAGTTACAAGTTAGCTCGGGCACAGTATAATCCTGAAGATGAGGGTGGGATGGTTTTGTGATTCCTAATGAACTGTAATGTACTTGATAAAAGTAAAATCCTTAAGAGCATTGACACGGCCTCAGATTCATGTACGATATTGACTCTGGCATACAGCATCCTTATAGGTTAAGATACAGTGACTTTAAGGAAGAGGAGATGCAATATCTGTTCACCATTTGAAAGTCTTTCTTTAATCATTTTTAGAATCTGCAGCAAAATTTTGGTCAATCTTCTGTGACGTGAATTACTCATTAAAAAACCCAAATGATACATTTGCTTTCTCCCAGAAGGATGAAGCTTGTAGTTCTAATTTTTCACTTTCTCATTTGGCATGCTGTAAATACATTCCATTATTGCTGGGCAAATGCTCATCCTATGCAACTGTTCAGAGATAACATGTTACAGAAACTGCATAACTGTGTAGAAATCAAAAAATGTGATTTTATTTCCTGCTGCCTGAAGCATCTATAATCAGTAAATTAACATATTTATTGTATGGCACCTGCTGCTTATTTCTTAGCCAGTTGTAGTTTAAGGAATATATTTCCATTAGCAGCTAATGACTATGCACTGGGTAAAAGCCATGTTATTTTTATAGTTTTTTTGTTGTATTGTTTTGTTTTACTTTCTTAGAGTAAGGTTTTCTGGTGTGAGTTTATTTGAGACTAGGTGGAAATATACCATTTCATACAAAGAATAGAGCAAGATCACAGTTCTGTTCTATACTTCTTTTAAATCTGACAAGAAGGTGAAGGAACAAACCTGTGTTGTTGTTTTGTTTTGTTTTTCCCTTGTGCATGAAAACAATCTTTCTTCTGATTCCTTTTCATTCTAGTTGTTCATTTTGTTTTACAGTCTACCATGTTTTGGGAAAGCTGTAAAGAAATTAGAAGGTTCAGGTATGAATCTCATTCCTTAAAGATTCCCTGTAATGTTCTAATTCAACAAACTGACCCGAGGAGCTCCTGCCCTATTCCCCACTCTCCTTATTTTATTAAAAGTAAGGTCGCATAGTTACAAAACTAGTTGCTAAATGTCCAAGAAAAACTCAACTATTGGGTGAAGAGAGGTCATTTAGCTTCCAAACCACACTAAAGACTTACTCAGCTTTACTGAGCATGATTTGAACCTTACTAATTCACCTAAACAGCTTCAGTTTCAAAGGGTTAGACAATCAGTACAATGTTTCGTGCATTTCTGTTCCTTATTGTTTTACATCAAGAAAGCCTGTCTCTGAGTAGGAGGCAGAACTTGTGCATTTAATTATGTAACCAAGGCTTTTGCTCTATTTTAGACCAAAAATATGTGTGATATGAGAATTCTGAGTGTCTTTTGCATTATGTTTTATACATATTTTCACTCACTTATCAATGGGCCAAATAAAAGGACTCTGTAACATACCTGAAAACAAAGAGGCTGGTAAAAAAAAAAAAAAAAAAACAAACAAAAAAAAAACATTAAAATATACAAAGCTCACTCTTTCTAGTTGATTTTGATTTTGATTTGAAGAAATCCATCCTCACAGAATTTCCTATTAAAGTGTTGGGATTTTGTTTGTTTTGATTCAGAGGTGATTTTATATCAGGTAATCAAGCCAGCTTGTCTTGGACAAGTTTCTATGGGGCCTTGAGTACTAGCCAGGTGAAATAATCCATGTGCATACTCAACAGGTCCAATTTGCTAGCTACTGTAGCATGAACAGCATAGTTTCATCTGCATATAACTTGAAAAAGGGAAAAGCTTGAGAGGATTTTCAGGTGTCAAGTTCAGAAAAGATGAATGCAAATGAAGTGCATTCTTGTCATATTGCACTGGTTTTGAAATGTCACTGATATCTCTTGCAAAGGAATATAAAGCTCATGCTCCATGTAAGATGAAACTGGATAAGGACTTTTTACAGGGAATAGGGAAAAGTGCTATTTCTTGTACAAGTCCTCAGCAAAGCTGTGAATACCCAGCTAATGGCTGGCAGCATGTACTTTTATAGTTTTTTTGAAAATACAAATCTGTTATAATGGCAATGTTTTTCAGGTATAGAAAAAAAGCTGCCCCTGTCCAGGAAAACTACAGGCAAACCATATGTACTGTGAGAACAGAATGAGTAAAATTTTAATATCATACAGGGCAACATAAAAAGGCCACATCTAATTTTCAAAAGTAACTTCAACACATTGGAATCATTCCGTGAGTCTTAGGCTTCTAAGTGCCCCAGTCTCTTTGAAAAGATGATTTAAACTTCAATGTTTTGATTTTGAAAATACAACCTGTCATTTCATATGGAATACCACTCAGCTATTACTTTCTGAAGTACAAAGCTAAAAGCATAGCCATGTTCAAATGTACAGGAAGCAAAAATAAAGAAAGATTATTTTGGGAGGAATCAGAGTTGGCCTCTAGAAAGTGTTTTTAGTAGGATTATAGTATGATTTTCAACTTCTATTTAGTTATTTTGAGATTTTTTTGTTTTCCTTTCCAATCAATTTAAGTTGAATAGTTGCACTGTTGAACATTATTGTTGTTGGTACTCTTCCCTCTCTTCTCTCAATCTAACTCAAAAACATCAAAATATGGGCCTCTTTGGCTCTCTAACTTCTCTTTGAAGACATAGCAAAATGGCAAATTCTCTTGTAATGCTATTAATATCCTGTGTGTACCTAGCAAGTTTCACAGACATAACAAGGTTTAGTCTCTCATGTCTGCATGTGATTTGCTTTAATAAGATCATAGTTTTGCCTTTATGTTAACACATACACTCAGCAGTAATATATTTGCTGTCATTTGAATTGAGCTCAATGTTGCACTTTTCATACCACAAAATGTACTACAAAAATGGAATATTAGTATAGTTTAGTATATTATTTTCAGGAATTTAAGTCCTTTGAGTAGTTATTGGGTAAATATTATATAAATATGCAAAAAGAATAAGCTAAATAGATTCAGGTGCTTTTTTCTTCTCTTTACATTGTAATTACGTGTGTGTGTGTGTGTGTATGTGAGCACGTGTGTGTGTGTTTCTACTATGTAACTGAAGGTTTAATTTTCTCAAAAACAAAATGTGCAAATGATTAACTTTGTAAAAGTTATTGTAATGGAACTGAATATTTATTTTTAAACTAAATTCTTAAGGAACCATTGTCTGTAAATAAAAGACTATATTTTACTCCTCTATTTTTGTTCATCTTATCAATTGTATTTAAAATTTCTGTGTAAAATATATTCTTGAGATACTGTAGGTTTTATTCTACTTTACTGATCTAGTTAATATTCCAGATTCAGTGCACTTGTTAAAAAGATACATAGTATTTTGGAGATCTGCAAAGCATTAAAATAAGTAGGTTACAGATGTAAATTTGTTGAAGATATTTTAATAAATGTTTGGGAGGATTGTGTCTGAAACAATTTGCACACATTTCTGGGGATGTGGATTTCCTTTAGTTCTCATGCTACTTTTGGCAACTTGTCACATTTCCAGATACATAATATTGAAAAGCGCTTAAATGACTTTCAATAAATCAAAGCATGCTGCCCACAAAATAATATTAAAATAGTGTCTCAAAGGATGTATCCTTAATGTCTCCAGACACTAATATTTGAGCTCCATTAACTAAGAAAAAAATGTAAATTACTTTATCATTTTACCTATATTTTACTGTTACTTGTATTATTCTAGATTGATAGCCTAGAAAACCTTACTGTACATCATTACAGATTTTTTTTTTTTTCCCAATTTCTCTGAAGTCAGAATAGGGAACAGCTGCAATTTATAAATAAAATTATAGAGTAATTTCTTGACCTTTTGGGGAGTACAGAAGCTGGAAGCATTTTTGCCAGGATGCTAGGCAACTTTCTGAAGACTGGTATATTTGAGGTGGGTTTGGCATCATGTATCACAAAAATAAATAAATAAATAAATAAATAAATAAATAAATAAATAAATAAATAGAAAGTGATTTGTTAGATGTTTCTGAGAACAGCATAAGGGTGTTAGAAAGTTGTTACCAGAGGTTGGAGTGATCATGTCAACAGAGAATGACAGAGATGCACTATGAAGGACCTTGAAAATCATGACAAACTATTTGAGTTAAAAAGAGGGAATCAGTGGCAATACTCAACAAACCTACAGTGACATGATCAAACAGTGGGTTTTGTTTATATGTATGTTTTTTCTTTGTTTGTTTTTAAAAGCTGCATTTATCATCACGGAAGAGACTCTGTATTAAGACTGGAGGGGACAAGAACCTGAATAAAGATTTTGGCTATGTAAATGAATTAGAGATGCTAGATAGAAATAATCAATAAGATTTTGGCATTAACCAAACACGAAGAATGGTTTACAATCCACTTCCTGTAGAAGAGAAGGGACATATGGGTATTGGGAAGATATGACAGATGCTTAAATTGCCACAGTGAGAAACATCTATGTAGACATTGAAGAGTCAAAACACATGTATAATGATTATCCTAATAAAAATTAGCTTAGCCAAAGTAGTCCAACTTAGAGAGACACTTGCTGTCTTTCATTCTCTTATTTTTTTATTGTTTAGTGTCTTGAAGTGAATTTCCAAGAATAAACCTATGCAACAACACCAAAATTTAATAGAAGTTCAAAATAGTTGGACCTATCTTTCAGTGTTAAAATGAATGCTACTCTGTGATTCTGAACATACAAAGGTGTCATCAGATATAAACCTTATTTTTTTCCCCGTGCTGTAGAATTCTTCATTATTTCATTGTTACTGTATTTCATCTTTAGATTTATTGAAAAGTGTTATTTCATAAATACAGAATGAATTTATGGTAGACTATTGTAAAATGCTGTAATTGTTGAATTGTCTTCTTCCAATTAATAAGCAGTTAAGATTTATACAATTCAGTAATTTCAGAGATGCACCATTTCATACCCATAGATGTTACAGCTATTTATCTATGAGTTAAAATTGTAGATAAAAGCATTCAATTATTCCTAAATTATTTTGTTTATAAATATAAAAACATACTTATAAATATACACTTATATATTATATATGTGTATATATGTGTATATTTATATGTATATATATACTTCTAACAGAAGCTGTGTTATTTATATGGCCAAAGAAATTGATCCAACCATAGATCTAATATACATATACTTCACTAATATGTAGTGAAATTTTCATATATCCATTGTTTCAGGAAGAGATTGCACAAAATCAAAAGCTGGAATACTGTAGTTACTGAAATAATTTAAAAGCAAATGAGCTGATGACAGTAGAATTTTAGATTAAAAAACTTTAATCAAAGCAGACTGGTGATTTCTTTGTGTAACCTCTTTCATGAGACAAGGTGCTTTGCAAAATAATGAAATTAACAATGCAAATATTGATGAATACACCAGGTCAAACAAAGCAGTCCTTGGTCTTGAGAGGCCCAATACCATGAGTCAACAAACCAAGGGATTCCAGATGCAAAGAGAACAAGACACAGAGACAGCTAAATAGGATATGCCTTTCAGTTTGTGCTGGTTTCTTTGGAAGGATGAAAAAATGTGACAATTGCCAAGTCCTGGTTTTGCTGTATGTTTGCTGCATTTCATTGGCTTTATTTGCTCTAGGGTTTTGTTTTGTTGTTGTTGTTTGTTTTGCATCTTGCAAACAACCATAAATGTGTCCAGTCTTTTCTATATGACAGTGGATGCACAGGCTTCAGAAGCTTCTGGTTTCCATGTAGGTTAATGTATTGGCTACTGCTGGAAGTAATACTAGCAGTTGTTCTCATACACCTAGTCCCCCCACACAAGAAAATTTAGGAATTTTCAAGTTTGATCTTATGGTACTGTATTATCTGTCTCTGATGAGAGAAACAGGCTCCACAGATCACAGCTGAAGACAGCATCAGAAGAAATGAGCGGTGATTTAACTTTCACAACTTATTCTTTTTGAGTGAAATTGTTTAGGCATGCCGGGCCTTCATAAAAACCCTCTGCAACTTCTTAAAAAGAATGTGAGGAGTAAGTGAGGAATAATTTCTTCATTCGCAGTGTTACAAGACTATTATTTTCTCTCTCTCCTTTTTTTTTTTTTTTTCATTTGGCATTGTGTCCTTTCTGTAATTCTTTGCTGTCTTTCTCTTTCTGTCTCCCTGTTTAAGAAACCCTTGTTAATTGAATGTACATTCATCTTTCTCCTACATTTGTTCATTACTAATGATGAAATGTATTCAAACTCTTAAGTGCCAGGATTGCAATAAATGATTAAACCTTTTGAAATGATTTATGAAATTAACTCTACTAATAGATCTGCAAAATTCTCAGTCAGATTATTAGATCATAGAATCATAAAGGTTGGAAAAGACCTCCAAGATCATCTGGTCCAACCATCATCCTACCACCAATGTCACCCACTGAACCATGTCCCTAAGCACCGCATCCAATCTTTCCTTAAACACCCCCAGGGATGGTGACTCCACCACATTCCTGGGCAACCAATTCCAACGCCTGACCACTCTTTCTGAGAAAAAATTAATCATACTTATAAGATTAATCATACTTATTGATCATACTTATAAGAATTTGTATTAGCACTTAACGATTTTTACTTCCAACTCTACTAGTTAGAGTCACGGACAAAGCCTACTACATGATTCATAGCTAATAAAAATAGTGTGAATCAACCACTGAGAACTTCACAATTATGTAAATAGACAAGCAGTAGAATTTAAAACTAATGTCTTAATGAAAAGCTTGAGCCACAAATCACCATATGATGATGTGAGTTAAGACCTTCTTCAAAAGACCTTCAAAACTCACACTTCAAAAGTATGAGTTAAGAGAAACATAAAATGTTCCTACTTTTCTATCTTCCATTTCTCAATAACCTCAAAAGAGGGCAAGATGATGCTCTTTGCTGATCCTACTCAGTCTGTAGCATTATTTTGTGCCATTGATTCGTTGTGAAAAAGACAGAAGTGTGCTGTGCTTTTTTTTTTCTTTGAGCATTTTTGATTTCCATTGAAGTATTGATGAAGGCTAGCTGTGCTAACTTTTATATGTGATTTGAAGCAGTCATAATCACCCTGTCTTTGATGATATGATGCAAATATTTAAAGGAGGCCATGCATTCATGATGTCGGATAATAGAGTTTTAATTATCACAAAGTGCTTTTGATGTTTGAGATGGATGATTACCCAAAACATAATTCCTCTTAGAGTCTGAAGTTCAGTAATTTTAAATATTCATTTTTTTTTCCAAGTTCTTTGAATTTGAAAGGAAAGCACAATGTCAGATATATCCTCTGACTGCAGAAAGAGAGAGAGAGAAGGTGTTTCACCATGTGAATTTTGCCCTCTCTTTTTTTCCTAATTTAAAATCATCATCAGAAGTTCTCATGTAATGATCATTTTTCCCCCCTATGCTTTGATGATGCATTCCAGAACTCCAAAACGATGATGCAGGTCACTGAAGGTAGAGTTCTGAAATTGCTTCATGTACACACTTCTGAAGTCATCATCTTTATGGCTTATGTGCAGTAACCTATTTTGGAAGTTTTAACAATAGCAGAAGAATAAATCTTTGTACTCATACACCTTGTCCTGACAACAAAAAGAATGCCTTAAAATTATAAAAGAAAAATCCCATCTCTCTGGTCTTAAGTATCTTCTAAAGTATCAAACCAAATCCAACCTCAAGTTTATTGTGAAACAATTGCATAAGCAAAAAATGTGAAGAGAAATCAGAGTTTCCAGAAGCTGAGAAAAGAGAAGATTCTTAAAAAGAGAACAGATTGCATAGAAGGCTAAAGATCCTATTCAAATCCAGGCAGAAAATCTGGATGTATTCCAAAAGCAAGATTAACATACATTCAAAATAAACTTGCATCACACTGTGAGGCTAGCATGTCCTTTCCTTTAAGCAGTATTGTACAGCTGAGAATCATTCACCTTACTTCTTTAACAGATATTTTTTGAGGGAAAAGGGGCAAAGACAATACTAATTTTTAAGTAATGTGAGCACAAGAAATCTGATGCCAAACTGCCCTTTTTGCTCCTGGGATTGTGTTGAGCTAGTTCCCCAGGCATCCTTCTGAAAATGTATCCTTTAGATTAAAAAAAAAAAAAAAAAAAAAAAAAAAAAAACATCCTCTTGAATCCTACTGTTTTAGTTCCCTGTGTGAATTTTATGGTTTGATTT